AAAGCAATTTCCATGTGATAAAACAGTATTGTGTTTAATAATCTGATTGTGCAGTGGCATGCAATCAGAAAAGGCATCATATTGAAGCCATAGGCTTATGTCTAAAGAATCAAACTGCACAGAGTTCTTGACTGTTTGATGCACCAGAACCAACAGAACTGGCAGGGCTCCATTGGGTGCCTGCCCAGTAGCAATGCCAGACAGCTGCTGAAAGCATCCTTCTTCTTTGGGAAACGGCACAATGGCATGTAGCGTATGCAGTGCTGGGGTTTGGCAAATATGCTATATCGGGTTCAATGTCCATCCTTGGTGTTAGGTTCATGTCCATAGGCTGGCAAGAGGCCTCTCGCATCTATTAAACATTGTGACGCATGCCATTTATGGGATATTGTGTGGGCAGCATTAATATATATTAGTTTTGTACCTAGACAGGCCAGTAGCAACATGTAATCACTTCCAAGGCAGGCAGTAAGAGCTGTATAAGCTTTCTTACAATGAGAGGTACACTTCTATGCATGAATTGAGACACATATTGTATGTTTTCCATATGTTTCACTTCAGTTCATATATACCCAGGCTAGTTCTCAGTGTTGCGCTCATTTAGGCACTGTATGTCCCATAGTGAGGGCAATGTTAGTTACTTCTTGCTTTCTTTCAAAGTCTCTCATGTGCTATGCAAAGCAGAGAACTGCATTGCAGGAGAACATACAGTGGGAGCGGGACTTAGTGAAGTTTTGGGATAGGTCATGTGATATTGTTGCCTTTAAAATCGCTAAGTCCTCTATGCATGCATTTTCTGAGTATTTTTCCACTACGTGCTTTCCAGGTATCTGTTCACCACTCTGAAGAGGTACATTTGCATGATGTATTATGTATAATGTTCTACTACTGCTTTGTGTTGATTCATTGTCAGAGTCTGCATTTCTACCGCCAGCTCTAACCTCATCATCAAAGTCACCTCCAAAAGAGAAGTGTATACATGCATTAAAATCCATCTCGTGTCCGTCATTATCTATCTACCTTGCATGCTGTAACAAATTTGCCCTACACAAGTGCCAATTATATTCTTAGCGCTCATTATCACGCTAAACACGATCACGTGACCTACACGGTCACATGCATATCACGGGACCTAGATCATCACATAGATATGATGGGATCAGTAGATAAGATAACCACAAAGTCCAGAACTTGTTCTAGACCAGTCACATGTCATGACATCATGAATGATGTCACCTGGTAGAGAGCTTAGCCTAATGGAGATACTCCAATGGTCATTATCCCTTGTATTACTAAACATATTGGTAGTGTATTAGTAACGAGTCACGAGTAGTCACATGAGCACTTGTTAATGTAGAGTACCATGGGTCCTACATAGTGTCAGGGGTCTTAGATTACTTGTATATAAGGAGCGTTGTCTGAGGCTTAAGACCTCAGACTCAACAACTTCGTTGATTCTTAGTCTCTGCATCTCTCTCTACTTACATCTCTTGACTTCAAGCCCTACCCTTCAAGTCTATCAGTAAGGTAGGGGTCACCAGGAACGGGCACCCCTTATGTAAGCAGACGCCTGCCGACAACAACGGCCGTAATGACGACGACACCATGGAAGATTTCAGGATTTGGGCCTGTAGAAAGTGTTGTCAGAGCTTGTAGCTACAATTCCTATTCAACAGAATTCAAAAATGTTGCCATATAGTGAAGTTATAACTTGATTTATCTCAAATGTACCAAACACATTTTCTCGCCGAGTTGCGCTGTCTGGCGAGGCTTGGGTTTCTGAGAGGCCGCGATTTTGCACGGCGCTTAATGGGCGCTTACCAAGAAAGGCAAGAGCGGGAGACAGGATATGCCCTGTCAACACACCAGATTGGCTTGTACAGTCATTATACACACTTAATCTCATTACTTTGCTATGGTTAGACCATCCAGGCAGCAGCTTTCACGTCTTAATAATTTAAACAAGGCCAGGAAGAAGCAGAAAGAGGCTTCTACCATCAAATCACCTTCTCCACCAAGCTCTGCCAGCCCGGAAGGGAGTGAGGCATCCTATGACACGTAATGGATTTGGGTTCAAGAGAATACACAAGAGGATGATGGAGAGAATGTATCAGAAGAGGAGGAAGGGGAAGGGGAAGGGGAAGGGGAAGGGGAAGAAGAGGAGGAGGAGGCTGGAGATTTTGTGCAAGGAGAAGAAGGTGAAGAGGGCGGAGAAGCAGATGAAAAGGAAGCCGAGGAAAGTGACCAGCACCTTCAATTTAATGAGGACACACTCCAGGACTATGTCGAGGTCCTCAGAAAGGCACAAGAGGTCTATACAAGAGCTGAAAAAGCCCAGAAAGCATTAAAAAAGCGAAAGAGCCATTACACAAGAAATGCGCTACGAACTGAGCAGAAGCGAAGAAAAGATCGCAGAGAGCTGGAGGAGAGTGGGCAGCCTCTGATTTATCGCTTTTTCCATCCCAAGGCAGCACAGGATGACGACGAAGATCTTGAGCCAGAAGACGATCACATACTCGATTTCAATGGTCAGATG